ATTCTTTAAATGACCTGGGCACAAAGAATTTTCCATTGATTAAGCAATACAATTATGCATCTAATTCTAAGCAAATTGCATCTGGGAGCAGATGGTTAAACTGGATAACCTCCAAAGGCCCTTAGAGTTTGAATATCTGTGGCTCTCGAAAGTTACCGCTACGGTAGACTTCTAAATTCCCAAAGCCCAGACTCCCTCGGACATTAGCAAAGCAGGACTTTTCTACCTGGCCCAGAAAGGGGGAGAAGTAGGAATTGGAAAACAGGGAGATTTGTTCATGTTCGTTGCAACCCCAGTGATCAGTCAGTCAATCCAAGCGATCATTAGGTCAGTGGCCGTTAGGTTAGGTCTCATCTGAAAGAGCAGCAGCTGATGGCCCACTAGCCCAATCTTCCTTCAGAAGCAGATTACTGTCACCATAGAGGTCTGTGCTGCTCTCCTAGAGACAGCCTCCACAGAAACCTGTCTAACTATTGGGCAGGGCTCTGACTCCTAGTTCAGCTCCAAAGGCACCTCCACCAGTTTTCCGGCATGGTCCTACACTGGGATTATTCACACACTTTCTTTCCCATTGCCTCAGAGTTTCAGGTGCAGCCCAAAGCAGGGAGGGTCAGCCTTGTCCAGCCTGCTCCTCATGCTCCTGAAATGTATTTCTTTCTAAAGAGATGGAAAATGCATCCCTGAATGTCATTAAGAACAACACGTTTCTCAGGTGCGCCTCCATTTCCAAGTAGCCACATTGCTTGGTCCTTCAAGGGTCAGGGCAGGAGGTGGTTGGGCTTTGTCTAATGGCAGCCTTCCAACCAGAACTGAGGTAAACTTTAGACCTGCATCTGACCCTGAAGGCCTTGAACAATCAGCAGGGGCAGCAGGAACTACCAAACCCTCTCCTTAGTATTTGAAGGTTACTTCCTCTTTTATTATTTTCTTTGAAGAACGCGGGATAGAGAATATCAGAGTTATATTATATAGGTAAGGCTGGGGAGGTAAAGGGCCTTGACTAAGATCTCACCCAGTGTAAGTCACAGATTTGAGCCTTTAGTGAGGTCTGACTCCTGGGCTAGTCCCTTACCACAGCACTGTGTGGAATTTGGGGTCCAGGAAGAACAAATAAAGGTGATTGTATGGAACTGACATCATTGGGGGGGTCCTAGGGAGAAACTTAACAATCTTCAATTTTCATCACTTGATGGTACTGCCTGTTTTCTTGGCTGCCAGGGGTTCTGTGGGAGAAGACTTGGGTGTTTTCTTGGGAATCAGCCCCAGTGATCAACCTTAAGAGTTCTTGTCTTGAGAAGAATCTTCCATTCGAGCTCTGGGTCCCACAGAGCAGGTAGCCTTCAGGATCTTTCACGCATCTGATAAAGCAGCAGCCATCCGATGGGGAGCTACCATGGGGGGCAAGACTTCCATTTCTAACCCTAGACACAAGTTCTGGGAGCCCCTCTGCTTCCTATAGCTGAGTGTGACTCTTCTCTCCTTCTGCCATATTACAAAGACCTTGATGTTGCCAGAGTCTCTCAAGAATGGGGTGGAGGGGGGCTGCTAAGACACTTCTAAAGCCCATGGCTGGGAGGAAATGAGTTTCCTAACTGTGCCCCTGCAGGACCTGCCAACCCCATCGCACTCTGTGCGTGCAGATCATAGGAGAATTGGGCTATTCATCCTAACCCTTCACAAGGAGCCCTAGGAGAAGAGGGCTGGGGGGAGGAAATCGTAGAGAGTGGGGAGGCCTACTGTGCTATGGTCATTGGCGAAGTGGTGCAGCATTTACTGATAGAAGAATAGGGATAGAGATTTACAGTTGGAATTGTTAGGATGTAAAGTGACCCCAAAGCTAGCAGAGAGAATGGGACATGTTTGAGTAAGCAGATGACAAGTTTGAAGGAAAATTGCATGGCAGGAGCCTCTACCAGCTCCCTGAGCTTCAGAAGCCAAGTTGGCACAAAATGTGACTGCTGGATGTTGTTTGGCTACTGGTTCCCTGGAAGATGTAGCATTTGCCTTAGCTGCCCCTTTATCCATCCTGAGCCAAATCTCTGTAGCTTAGGAAACAAGAGCAAAGGACCCTAGAGGTAGGCGAGAACTTTGATCCTCATGTGAGTGCTTGTGTTTTATGCAGCTTCTAGTAGATGCAAACAGATCTAGAGAAATTTTGACCTAGAAAGGCTCTTAGTGGGACTACAGCCCAACCTACATCCCATCCTGTTACTTGTGTGAAAATGATGCTCAGACAGGGAAAATGGCCTGCCCGGGACAGTGAGCAGGTCCCACCTCCAGACACAGCAGTTCCTATGGGGCCTCCTCTTTCATACACCCACAGACTCAAGGCTAGAAGTGCTTGTCTCCCTTCAGGAGCCTGGCCAGGCAGGGAGTGGGCTGCAGTCTTCATCAGAGCTCGCCTCCTCATACACACTACCCCAAGGCATTTGTGCAGCTCCTGCCTCTGGGCTGGAAGGCTCTGGACTGACTAAGAGCCAGGCAGTTTTTAGGCCTCCCTAGTGTTGCCTGAGTTCCCACCCTTGCCTGGGGTCTCCCTAGGCCATGTTCACCACAGAACCTGATTTTTTTTTTTAATTCACTTCAGGGCTCTTTCTAGGAGGGGTGAGGTGTGTTTCTTTATTCAAAAAGCTTCCAGCTGAGATGGGGGTGAGGGAAATTTGTTGTGAGAATGGCCTGGAACAGGCCAATGCTGCTTTGGGGAGTCAGCATCCTGTGTGAGATACTGTGTATATAAACTATATATAATGTATATAAATAGGGATGTAAGTTTGTGTAAATTAACGGTTTATTCTTTGCAAATAAAGTGCTCCCCTCCCCACTCTTGAAATCAGCTTGAGCTCTTCCTGCATGTCACATGCTTCTTTATAAGTGATGCCACGACACATGAGCTCCGGGGAAGGCTCGAGAAACCCATTTTGATGAGAGTACCAGAAGGAAACTAGTCTAAGATTCTTACCAGTGCATCCCACTTGCTCTCTTTGCACCAAACTATGCATCTCCAGCTCATTTACCTTGGCTTGAGGTCTTGCCAGAAGACATATTGTCACAGGACAAGAGCACACAGCATGGGGCCACCTTCAACTTGAAAACGTGGCTTCTACATCTCAAGCCTGGCCCAAAACATCTTGGAGAGATCCAACCTTCAGCTCCTCGTTAATATACAAATTTGCTCCCTTTGCAGACAAAACCAGTGCTCAGGGATGTTAAGTAGCTTCCCCAAGACCACTCAACTAGTAAGGGTCTCAGCCTGGCTCTTTCCCTGGTGTGCAGTCCACTCTGCCATGCTGCCTCTACTGCCTGGCCCCATGCTGTTTGCTGGAGAAACCCTGTCTATTCTATTCTAAGGAAGGAGATCCCAAGAACAGACAGCCAGGAACAGGTAGCTCAGGATAGTAGATGGAACTTTTCCCAACCCCAGCAGCCTCTGTCCTGTTGCGGAGAATGTGACCCCCAAGTAATGTGGATGAACCTGAGCCTGCAGTGGTCAGATGATAATGATACCCAGGTTGGTCCTCTGGCTGCTTTGGAGAGTGGGTTTCAGTCGCAGAAGCCTAGAAAATTTTAGAACACCTTGGGATGTCACACAGTGGTAGACTATCTTTAGTGTCAGGACCTGGGTTTGATGCTCAGCAGCAAAAAGAAAAAGAAAAAAAAAGACACCGTATAGAAGGAAAGTGGAACCTCTGGCACAAGAAACAGCGCAGGCAGAAAAGACCACAGCAGACGACCACACTTCTGTCATACAGTGTGCAAACGACCACACGGGCTAGGCATTTACGACAGAGCAGGAATGTCACACTGTAGGAAGTACACAGGTTGGCTTAAAAACTGGACAATGATAGCGCACACCTTTAATCCCAGCACTCGGGAGGCAGAGGGAGGCGGATCTCTGTGAGTTCGAGACCAGCCTGGTCTACAAGAGCTAGTTCCAGGACAGGCTCCAAAGCCACAGAGAAACCCTATCTCGAAAAACAAAACAAAACAAAACAAAAAAAACCAACTTGACAAACTTAATGCAGGAAAACGATTGGACCAGATGACAACCATCTAAGAGGGTATGTGCACCAAATTGTGTAATACGTGGTTACAACAACCGCTGGGCTAAGAGTGTGAGAGACTTGCCACTCAGAAACTCAGAAAACAAGTTCTTTGTAGTTGCTGGAAGCCAGGCATCCCATTTGATTATCAAAGAGCAGAGTTAATAGGGATGGGGTAGTGAGTGTGGGCAAGTTTCCTGGGTGGAAATGGGAAAATTAGATCTAAACCATTGACCATTCCTGTATAGCTTTATAGGGTGGAAAGTAGGTAATAGACAAGAATCACCAAGGTATCAATTACTTAACCTTTCAAAATACTGCCTTGTACTTTCTTTTAGAAAGCAAGACACCATGAACTTTAGGACAGTGTTTAGGGATAGGAAATGGATTAGATGACTGGAGGAGAAAAAAAATTTGTGTAGCTCTCCAATTTTCCAGGTTTAGTAACATGCAGTAAGGAACATTAAAATTTGCCAGCAGCCTTTGAGGTGAGCAGAGGAAGGATTATGAGTCTCATTTTAGCGTTGAAAAAACAGATAAGAAGTGATGAATTGCCCCTAAAAATCACAGGTCCTGAATGTGCTGCTCTCTGAACCCAATGTCCCCTGGCCCTTGAGGTACCCAGTCCTGGAGAATGACAGACGCACAAGGTCCTAGAGTCCTCCAAACAGACTAGCTGAAGCACACAGTACCAGAGATGGGCTCTTTATTCTATCCCAGGTTTGCTCAGAGCAACCTCCAGTAACTTCAGTGAAGCCTAGGGTCGTCTCTGTCTCAGCGGAAAAGGGAAAAAACTAGGAGAAAGAGATGGAAGTGGAAAAGGATGGAGACAGAAACCAACCGAATGGACACAGCCCCACCTCCCTCCAGTGAGGACTGCTCCAGTCACGCGTGAAGCATCATAGGTGCACACTGGCCTGCTGTGACCAGTTCTACACCATCCAGCCAGGGGAATGTCTTTCAAACTATCACCAGCTCCTGGGTCTCCGAGATGCCAAACTTGGTCTTATGTTGATCAAACAATTTGCGGAGAGCATCAATATAGAGTGTGTGGTATTTGACCACAATCTCCCGGCTCGGATTCTCAATCTTGGGCAGAGGTAGAGGTTCGCCGACTGCCAAGGAGAAGGGAAACGGGAAAGAGAAAAGCATCAGAATAGTTCACTCCACAGGACAGCCCTCATCCTGGAACTCAGCTTCTCTCCACCCTGACCCTCTGCTCAGCGCCCATCCTAGCCAGCCTCCCTGCCTCCGACCATAGTCAGGATTCCGAGGCTCAGCCACAGAAGTGAATCCTAGAACTTAAACCAAGGCTTCCAATAAAAGGGCCCACTCACCAACAGTGGTTACTGGCTGAGAATATGGCAGAAGGCCCCAGGAGTTCTTGGTAAAGCCGCGCCCATAGAAAGCACAGGGGTAGATGTGTACCATCTTCTGGAACCAGTTCTGAAAGCGATTGATATAGCCCCCGGGAGTAAAAATGTGCTGGTCATAAAGGTCCGTCTCTCCGAAGGCATAAGCAGGGATTAGAGACGCCCTGCAGAAGAAAAGCAAGTCCTTGAATACGCAGAAAGACGGGGACCCTGCTGTAGATGACATGCTGAACATCAGTATCCCCTGGGTCTGCCTACAGGCCCCCTAGACCTCAAATCCAGCTGTACCAAGGTGTCAGCTGACTACGGTGTCCCATGGCCTACCTAGGCCAGGCTGCCTTTCGGGATGAAACAGTGTCTTCTGAAAGCCCAGAGATCCCCGGGAATGCCCAAATCTGAACCACTGTCAGATAACACCCAAAGGCCATTTCATTTGGTTTTTTTTTTTTTCCCTCAGCCCACATGTTAAGAAGTGAGGCCTTTTCTGCTCTAAGGTGCAACCACAGTCCTTTTGTAGAGAGACTGGTATTAATGAGAGGCTAAGGCTATCACAAGGCCTGGACAGCACCCTTTCCAGCTCTCTTCGAACCCATAGGTGGTTTTCTTTCCCTCTGCCCTTTTCTTTATTTTGAACTGACAAAATTGAATAACATTTATATAGAGAAGCTGGAGTGCTAGCTCGGTTGGCAAGGTGCTTTCCATGCAGGCATGAGGACCTGAGTTCAATGGCCAGAAAAAAAGTCAGGTATGGTGGCATGCTGGGGATGCCAGGGAGATGGAGATGGGTGGATCGCTAAGGCTTGCCGGTTAAGCCTACTCTACCAGATAAATTCCAAGCCAGTGGCAGACCCTGGCTCTAAAGAGAAGGTGGACTGAGCCTGAGGAACAATAAATACACAAGTTGACCTCTGCCCTCCACATGCAGGGACTCAAGGGCAAGCATGTGTGTGCATGTGTGCGTGCATACACACACACACACACACACATCAATATTTTAATGATGGTTCTATTCACAATTGTTTGCAAGCTTCTTTTTCTTTAACTACTGCAAAGCCAGGTGTTCTTCCCTGATGGGCTTTTGAACATCCTCCCCACCCCATCCCACCCCTATGTCCCAGCAGCTGTCCTTACCCGTGTCGAAGGGCCATGCGCACAAAGCCATGCCGATTCTTCAAGACCAGGGTGGTAGAGCCTGGCGTGCTGTGTTTGCATTCAGCCAGGCCACCAACCACCACGACAAGCATGTTGCCTGTGCCCTTCTGGGTAAGCAGAAAGTCTATGGAGGAGTGGCTCACAGAGCAGGCCCCTGGTGGGCAGAAAAAGCCAAAGGTGCTTGGTTACTCCCACCCCTGCAAACTATTCTTCCCCACTCCCCTCTACAAGGAGCAGGGAGCATCTTCTCCAGCCTGTGTTTCTAGGGAGCTGGTAGGCAGCTTTGAAGCTGCTCTTACACATGCCCTGGTTCTCCTTAGGGTCGCCGTCTATGTGGCGGTATGCCCCAGAAGCCACTCACCTGTAGACATCACATAGTCTCTGAAGAAAGGCACCCAGAAAAAGGCTCCTAGTGTGAGTATGTAAGGGGTGATGCCAGGAAAGACCTTGGAGAAGCCTGATGTGTCAGTGGCAAAGTGACCAAAGCATGAATGGGCCATGAGCCCATGAGGATGACAGGCAAGGATGTAGTTATGGCTGGGGGAAATATCATGCGTCTTCAGAATCTGTAGAGGAAGGTCAACACAGAAGAGCTAAAGACAGAGAGGGAAGCTCCTCTTCTGGCTAGAGAACTGGAACTCATGAATTCCAGTCATGCAGGCTGGGCAATGCGCATGCCCAGGGGTCATTGTTTTCCCAGGCCCCCATGTGGTCACACCCTGTACCCTAATCCCAATCCAATGCTATCCCAGGCTCACCTTGATTGGGAAGTAATTGCAGTAGTGTTTCCACAGACGCCACCTCCTCACACAGGCGAAACGACGGCCTCCTGAAAACACAGTCAAGCTCTTTCTACCCCCGCTCTCCTTCTCTGGCCTCCTTTGGGGATACCATGGGGTCCCCTCACCTTTTCCTGCCCTCTTACATGGCAACTAGAACGGGCATATCAAGAACAACTTAGAATGGGCCCAGCCTCTGCTTCCTTACCCACACCCACCCCTTTCTTCCTCTTGCCAACTCCAGCTCCAAAATGGGTCTTTCCAAGACCTTAAAAGGAGCACTTCCATCAGCTTTCCTAGCCCAGGGAGGGACAGGCTCAAAGACTGATTGGGAACTGCCCAGAGCCTCCCAGGGTTAGGAGAGTAGCGAGAGGAACATACGGCAACACATCCCACCAGGCACTCACCTCGCTCCGGAGTCTTCCAGTCAAACGCCAGCCAAATGAGCGTCAGCACGGTGAACGGCCAGTACGATGTGAACACCACCAAGTAGAGGTTGACAAGGATCACCGTGGTTACTAGAGAGACCCCAGCCCAACGTCAATGAATTGTGGACAATCCCTCACGCCCACACTACCCCCACTGAGTTCCATCTACCCCAAAATCACACACGCTCTGACCAAGGCCCACTCACCAGTCACCCTTCCACTTACAGATGGCCCACATGTCCATGTGCCCCTGGACCTTCTCAACCTGATTTGGGTCTAGAAGACAAATGTGTTCCTCATAGCTGTGCTTCCCATGGCCTCCACCCCCGAAGCCTGCCCCAGCATTGTGTATATGGTGGAGGTAAGGACAGGGGCCACTGATGGCCACTGGATATTTGAACTCTTAGAATAATTTCTGATGACTCACATTTTCTTCTCAATGTCTTCCCCATAAGGTAGTGGTTCTCAACCTGTGATTGGTGACCCCTTTGGGGGTCAAATATCAGATATTTACATTACCATGCATAACAGTAGCAAAATTACAGTTATGAAGTAGCAGCAAAGCTGTTTTTATGCTTGGGGGTGACCACAACATGAGGAACCGTGTTAAGGGGTCACAGCGTTAAGGAAGGTGGAAAACCATTGCTGTAAAGTATCAGGAGAGGAGATGCCAGAGAAAGCTAGCACCTGCCTTCACCAGAGTGGAAGCACACAAAGCAAGGAACAAAGTATAATAAGATAAGGAACTGTGCTCGGCTGAAGGAAGACAGGAAAGAATGACTAAAGAGCCACAGGTGGGTGCCGCATCCACTTGGAATTACACTGGAAATGTAAGCAGCCAAGAGTAAGATAGTGTGGGAAATGGGCCAAAAGGTTAGAAAGACAAAAAAAAAAAAAACCCTTCTAATTGAATACATTAACACATTTTGTCTTGACTTATTGGAGTCTCATGAAAATGATTAAAATAGTTTAGGAATGTAGGTACACAAAGAGAAGAAGAGTCTGAACTATGCCAACAGTAGATGCGGTATCAGTAAAACATGTGTTCATAAAGCAAATGCAGGGAGACACAACAGGCTTAAAAAGCGGCAAGCTGGTCTCTAAGCACCTGCAATGGCAATGCCTACAGGAAGTCTCTTTTTTGTTGTTTTATTTATTTATTTATTTATTAAAGATTTCTGTCTCTTCCCCACCGCCGCCTCCCCTTTCCCTCCCCCTCCCCCAATAAAGTCCCCGTCCCTCATCAGCCCAAAGAGCAATCAGGGTTCCCTGCCCTGTGGGAAGTCCAAGGACCACCCACCTCCATCCAGGTCTAGTAAGGTGAGCATCCACGAAACTGCCTAGGCTCCCACAAAGCCAATACGTGCAGTAGGATCAAAAACCCATTGCCATTGTTCTTGAGGTCTCAGTAGTTCTCATTGGGTCTGAAAAAGCCTGGGTTAAAACCGGTCTTGCTGAACATAGGAAGTCTCTTTTCTTTGGAAAAGTCAGGAAAGACTCAGAATCTGGAGGACCAGACATCACAAGAGGCAGGGAGGAAGCCCAAGCTCAAACAGCAGAAGCCTGGATGGATTGCTGACAAGAAACTAATTAGAACACTATGTCTTCTCTCCTCTATGCAAATCGTTAATGGAAGAATTATTCTCTGAAAAAAAAAGAACCAAACAAGATTCTTGATTCACAGAGCCTGCGCGGGTCTGCGCTAGGTCCTCTGCATACACGTTATGGTTGTATAGCTCAATGTTCTTTTGGGACCCCTAAAAGTGAGAGTCTCTGACTCTTCCTCATACTGGGTTACTGTGTCCAGCCTTGATGGTGCCCATCCTTATCGTAACTTGTTAGGTCATCTTTGGTTGATGTCCCTGGGAGGCCTGCTCTTTTCTGAAGGGAAATGGAGGCATGGATCTGGGGGAGAGGGGAGGTGCAGGAGGAGGACTGGGAGGAGTGGAGGGAGGGATAACGGTGGTCAGGATGTACTGTATGAGAAAAGAATAAAAAAGTATTCTGGACTCAGATACAGGTGGGTCTCAACTTAAAACAGCTTAACTTACAATGTTTTGTAGCTTATGGTGGTGGAAAACCAGCAGGAATCCAGCAAAAACTGAATTTTCCTCTTTTCCTGTGCTAGCAATATGTGGTACCATTCTGTTGTATGGTGGCCAGCAGCAACAAGCCATAGCTTCAACACCATGATATACAACCAGCATGGGGCAATGTGCTGTGTTACTAAGCTGTGGGATTTGACACACTAGGTATATCAGATGTATTCTTGTCAGTTAGTTGGTTGGTCTGAGACAGTCTCGCAACACAGTATGACAGCCCAGGCTGGCCTCAACTCGTAGCAATCCTCCTGCTTCAGCTTCCAAAGTTGTAAGATGCCATGCCTGCCTAACATATTCATGATTCATAGTATTTACAACTTACTATCATTTGGAGAACTTCAGTCCTTACATTAGCTAGAGCTGAAATATTCTAGATGCAGCGAAATGGTTGCTCAGATGAGAGGACAGCCAATTTCAGATATATTTTCTCAGATAATTTGTCTCCCAAACCCTTTCTCCTGAATACTACTGGATGGCATGCTACATCAAAATGGTGGAGAAGTCAGAGAATCCACGGTGGAAAAGGGTCAACAGAAGAGGAAACTGAGCATGGGCAGGGCTGGAAGGAAATAAGCAAGGCTCCTAGAGTCCACATTTAAAGTGACCCCCACCCTTAGTCACATTCCAGTCCAGCCTCACCTTTTCATACCCCAAGAGTAAGCGCCTTAAACTTTGCCTAAGTGGCCATAAGCACTCTGGTAATAGCAGCTGTGCATAAGGCCAGACTGTAAGAGGGAGATGCTGGGTTCCAGCAATACTGTCCTCAAGGAAAGAAAACATGAGAGAAATATTAAAGACTCCTCATGTCTTTGCACATATTGAAAGATTACCATGTGTGTGAAATGCTTGCGGGCAAGTTAAAAATAACTAAAAGATATCTAGGAAACGAAAAAAATTAGGGGCTGGAGAGATGGCTCAGCAGTTAAAAGCACTTGTTGCTCTTGCAGAGGACCTGGGCTTGATTCCCAGTGTTCACAACCATCCGTGACCCCAGTTCCAGAGGATCCAATATGTAAGCACATGGTGTACATACATGCATGCATGCAGGCAAAACATTTCTACTATACAATGAAAATAAATAAATCTTTAAAATTGTTAATTAAAATGTAAATGAGTCAATTATTAGTTCCAAGAAAAAACAAGTCACACAAAAAAATATAATATCAGTATGTTTATTTCCTAATTGTAGTCAGACATTTACCCAAAACTGCACTATAAGAATTTTGGAAGGAGCCTGGTGCTGGAAAAGCGGAGGCAGGCAGATTTATGAGTTCTAGGACAGCCTCATCTACATCGTGAGTTCCAGGACAGCCAAGGCTATGTAGAGAGAAGAAGAAGAAGAAGAAGAAGAAGAAGAAGAAGAAGAAGAAGAAGAAGAAGAAGAAGAGGAGGAGGAGGAGGAGGAGGAGGAGGAGGAGGAGGAGGAGGAGGAGGAGGAGGAGGAGGAGGAGGAGGAGGAGGAGGAGCAATAAGAGCTTTGGAAGAGGCAAATATACTCAAGCATATCATATAGAATTCAATTCTCATTTCCTGTGTTGGGAAGTCAACAGAGAATGCCTAAAATTGTTACATCATACAATAGCAGTGTTCAGAAATTCCAAATAGTAAAATTCAGAAGTATTTTTTTAAAGGCAGCACATTACAAAGTGACTGATTCTGGGGACCAGAACTATGGGTAGCGCAAAGGCCAGCACTTGTAGCCTCTGGACAAGAACCACAGAAAATTTCTTGGCTAATTAAAGAGAGTATGGGTCTAGTACAAGAGACACCTCATTTCTCTTAGGGTTTGCTCAAACACAAGCATGACGAAAGGCATCTTGCGAGCGTGGCTCGGGGAACACCTTGTGACGGAATGAATCCTCCATCTACGCTTCCATTGCCGAACCTTAGCTCCGCATCTGCAAAATGCCAGTCTTCCCTCTCCTGCCAGGGCTCTTACAGAAGTCTTCTCACAAAGTCTTTGGGGTCCAGGTGGATATGGCACTCCATCAAGGGAAAAGAACTGGGGGGATGAGAAGGACCCACACACACACAATCACACACACACACACACACACACACACACACACACACACATCCCGTTGGTGAAAAGGGGCCAGCTTGGTGCCCACATCTTCTGTCACCAGTACCAAGAGCTCTTCCCACACTACCTGTCTTTTCAGTACGGAACCAAATTTGAAGTTCAGGAGGTCCTTGGAGTCCACTTTTTCCCTGTACTCACCCTTGTTTCCTCCGTTCTGGATCTTTTTCTGTACCACCTGCCCTCTGCCAGCCCACACTGGCACCTGTGGGCTGGACCTTGCTTTCGCTTTTTCTCACTGGCATTTTTTTAATCCTCACATTGTATTAATTCTTCTCTATGCACTGGCTCCCTCCTAGCTTTTCTTCTCTCCATCCCCAGCACCACGGGCCTGGTTCAAATCACCACCCTCTCTCAACAGCCTGACAAAACTGCTGTCACTGCTTCCCTTCCTGCCTCCTTGTCATTGGTTTACTCCCAAGAGCACAAACAGACTTTCAAAACCACGGCACTAATGTCATCACCCTGTGCCAAACCCTATGCCACATAACCTCACAAGAAAAAGCCAAGCTCCTTTGTCAGTGTTCGCTGTAATTCTCCCCCACCTGCTCCTCCAGTTCCTCCTCCCCCATCCTTCCTTCCTTTCTTCCATAAAAGTGTATTAAGTACCAAGTCTGAGCTCACTCCCATCACAATTACTCACGCCAGCCCTCTGACTACTCCAGATTCGCATTCATCCGGGCCTTTTCATGGGCCTATGTACTGTCCCCAAGGCTCATCCCTTCTTCACCAATTTTTTATTTGCCCCTCAAGAATCAACTCAAGCTGGGCGTGGTGGCACACAATTGTAAACCCAGCATTTAAGAGGCAGAAGCAGGTGGTAAGTTTGGTATCAGCCTGGTCTACCCAGTGAATTCTAGGCCAACCAGGGCTACATAGTGAGACCCTGTCTCAAAAAAAAAACCATACCTAATTGCTGAGGAACATACAAAAAGATTCTCAACCTCATTTATAATTAAGGAAATTCAAAATAAGACTGTACCTTATTTATCACTTAAGTCAACAGCAACTAGAACTGCATATAGGGTCTCCATTTCCCCTTTCTATTCTATGGTAGCCCTTAAAGCTACTTTTTCCGGGGATGGTGCCAATACCACCTTGATCAATAGAGTCCACCGTGAGCTGAGACTCCTACCAACCTGTTTGATGCCTTTAGTGTGAACAAGAAATGACCATTTCTACACTTACGCCACCAGATTTCACCTAGAGTGTCCTGATGAATATACCCTAAATACTATGAAGAACGAGGAGAAGTAACTTACTAAAGGTTGCCCAGATAATGAACAGAGTTAGAGTCTAAACTGTTACTTTGACTTCAGAAACTATTTTCAACATCTATGTTATATGTATATCTCATAGCTATATGCATATATGTGCATACATATGTGTATGTGTTATATATGCATTTATAATCTCCATCATTTATGCCTATGCATACACACAGTTAACACAGCTATGTCTGAAGCATGAGATTCATGATTGGACGGAAGAAGGAAAGAGGAGCCACCCTAAAGGTTCAAGCTTCCTAGACCTTCAACGAATAGTCATTCTTCCCAAATTCGAACTCAGTTCCTTGACCTTGGGGACTTTGCTGTCTTGTGGGAACACAGTCATCATGATGGAAAGGTGGAAAGACAGTAACAAGCCAAGACTGGCAAGAGTAGAAAGATAGTACACTCGAGAGACGATACACTTCCCTTCCTATGTTAGGACAACCCCTGCAGCCTCATTTGCCAGTTATAGTTGGCAATGCCTGTACCAACTTGAACAAAAGTCCACAGTGAGTTGAGCCTCCTACCAACCTGTTTGGTGCATCTAGTGTGAGCACAAACGTAGTCTCACTAGACTGCCAGTCTAGTGCACACACGAAGCTCCACACCCTTTCCCAACCAGCAGTGAGCAGATGCAAAAGACAAAGAAACTCTCAAGCAAAATGTTAGCCGTTATGTGCTCACTACCAGCCCAGTTCCTCTACTGCCTAGCTTGGGATCTTGGACAAATGGCTTCTACTACATGGAATTCAGCTCTTCCTCTACACAATGCAAATTATTAGTCACATGTGGTGGCTAGACTAGTGTTTGGCATGTAAAAAGAGGCCATTGTATGTTAGCTAACACTCTGTATCATTGAGCATTACATGTAGAGCGACCAGTATGGCTTTTTAACATGATAATAGCTTCTACTTTGCAAGGCTAGCACCAGCTAAAATGAAATACTACATGTGAAAACACAGGGGCCAAACTAATATTTAAGAATTCCTTTATCTGGTTGCTTCCAGTTCTGATTGCTCTCACCCATCATTCAGTATTAGATGGTTCTGGTACCTCCCCTTGGTCTCCTCCTCTGTGGCTAGTCTGATGGTTGGGGTAGGAAAAGCCCACTATCCTCTTCATTGGCATCCCGTTGTACTAGGGACATGTTCTTGGGGCCTGCCTAGAGTCCTCATTCTCAGAGCTCTGACAAGATCACCTAATTCATACCCTTGACTCCTGGCAGTATTCACATGAACTACTGTTCCTGCAAGAATTTTTTTCAGGACCCCTCCTGCAGTGATGGTTTGCTCTAGTATATAGAACACCATGACCAACATGTAATTTTCATGAAGGGTATAGATGTTGAAAATGGTGGAAACATAGTTCAATTCCTCTCGGCAATAGGTTTCTAAAGATTCCCTCTGCCAAAGTCAACTCTTTCATCACAGTTTTCTTGATTTCCTGAGATTGCAGCCACGCCCTTCTCTTTGGCTGACTTCAGTGAACTTGTTTGCAATGATTCCATAGCATGGCCTCTATACTTCACTGTAGACCCGGTTGGTGCTCACTAGGCAAACCTAAAGCAAGATGTGCATGCGCAAACACACACACACACACACACACACAGAGAGAGAGAGAGAGAGAGAGAGAGAGAGAGAGAGAGAGAGAGAGAGAGAGAGGGAGAGAGAGAGAGAGAGAGAACCCTGCACAGACACATGCATGGCCATGCCCATGTCCATGTGGTCACACAGACCTCACAGTTACCCCACCCGGATGGCTGAGGCCACAGACAAGGATTAACAACTCTTATAGTTTGCCTAGAACAACACAAAATTTGAACAATGAACATCCTACCACCCTAGAACCTTCAATACGAGGCAAGCCCATGAAGCTGAATGTCTCTCTGAGTAGTTGAAGACTCACTTATGACAAAGGCACTCAGGGCCCACTGGAAAACAGCGAGGACCTCCAAGGCGGTCTTGATGTCCTTCTTGGTGGGCCAGAACATTATGTCCAGAATCTCAGGAGCTCCAGGTAAATGCTGTTTAGCTGTCTAGCCCTCACTGCTCCAGGACTTGCCATGTTTCCTCTCCTGGGCTTTCTTCTCCAGCTGTTGCCTATTCTCCGCCCCTTGCCCCACCCTTTCACAGGACTGCAGGACCTCCCACCGCCTCTGCTTGTCCAGTTCCTTCCAGCTGCCTACCCAACTGCACTTTCACCCACTTGAACTCAGCCTGGGTTGAGATTGTGACACCCCCACTATACACCTGGATAATGGATGACGCCGTGATGTGGGAAGTGAGTGGGTGGGATGGGGCTGGTGAGAGGCTGCCAACCCCAATCTGAAAATAAATGGGAGAGCTGTGGGCAGGAAGAAATCCTGGACTCGGATGGGGCAGACTCAGGGCCTACATCTTTGCAGACCCAACTGCTGATGATCTTGGGAAGAACCTATCTGGAGGGCTGACAAGGTCACAGGCCAGGTCTAGCAACACCTTTGGCCTTCAGATCATTGCAGTGAAGACATCACATGTATGTGGGCAGAGAGTGGGTGCTGAACAAATTTTCTATTGAGTGATTAGACAAATGTTGGTGCATACCGTGTTATTCTGTGTTCGTAACGTTCTGGAATAGACAAAGCGTGTCGATTAGGAAAAATCAAAGCAGGTGTTGCATCTACTAAGGATTAACTGAGAAGTCATTTGATGAAAATTTTGGGGGGCCCGGTAATGTTCTCAATATCTTGATAGGATTTTGAGTTGCACATATCGAAAGCAGACATCAAAATACAGCGAATGGAGGGCTGGGGAGAGGGCTCGATGATTAAGAGCACATGTTCTTTAGAGGACCTAAGTTAAATTCCCAGCACCCATATGGCAACCCATCACTGTCCATGACTCCAGTCCCAGGGGATCCTTGGCACCAGGCTTTTTTTTTTTTTCAGCAATTTTATTTATTTATTTATTTATTTACTTATTTATTTATTTATTAAAGATTTCTGTCTCTTCCCCACCGCCACCTCCAATTTCCCTCTCCCTCCCCCAATCAAGTCCCCCTCCCTCGTCAGCCCAAAGAGCCATCAGGGTTCCCTGACCTGTGGGAAGTCCAAGGACCACCCACCTCCATTCAGGTCTAGTAAGGTGAGCATCCAAACTGCCTAGGCTCCCACAAAGCCAATACGTGCAGTAGGATCAAAAACCCATTGCCATTGTTTTTGAGTTCTCAGTAGTCCTCATTGTCTGCTATGTTCAGCGAGACCGGTTTTATCCCAGGCTTTTTCAGACCCAGGTCAGCTGGCCTTGGTGAGTTCCCGATAGAACATCCCCATTGTCTCAGTGTGTGGGTGCACCCCTCGCGGTCCTGAGTTCCTTGCTTGTGCTCTCTCTCCTTCTTCTCCTGATTTGGACCTTGAGATTTCAGTCTGGTGCTCCAATGTGTGTCTCTGTCTCTGTCTCCTTTCATCGCCTGATGAAGGTTAATATTCAGGAGTATGCCTATATGTTTTTCTTTGGGTTCTCCTTATTTAGCTTCTCTAAGATCACAAATTATAGGCTCAATGTCCTTTGTTTATAGCTAGAAACCATTTTTCTATATTTACGATGAAGGAGCTAAAAGTATACAATGGAAAAAAGAGAGCATCTTCAACAAATTGTGCTGGCAAAACTGGATGTCAATCTGTAGAAGAATGAAAATAGATCCATATCTATCACCATGCACAAAACTCAAGTCCAAGTGGTTTAAAGACCTCAATATCAGTCTTAACACACTGAACCTTATTGAAGAGAAAGTGGGAAGTACTCTACAACACGTGGGCACAGGAGACCACTTCCTAGGTATAACCCCAGCAGCACAGACAGTAAGGGCCTCATTGAATAAATGGGACCTACTGAGGCACCAGGCTTTTAGATGGTGCATAGACATACACACAACCAAAACACTCATGCACATAAAATAAGGAAATCTTTAAAAAGTTGTTTTAAAAAAATACAACAATCAGGCCGATGAGATGGCTCAGCAGGAGAGGTGCTTACCACCAAAACTGACAGCCTGAGTTCAATCCCTGGGACCCTGGGGAGTGGTCCTTTGACTGCCATGCATGTGCCTTGGCATGCTCATGCTGCAACCCACCACAATAACTAAAGAAATGTAATGAAAGGTGGTCTTTTAAATATAATGCACGAGCGTTTATCATTTCTGCATTCCACCACATGTAACTTTTACCTACAAATAAACATTGAACTTTTATTCATGCTGATGTGCTTGGGGTGACGGATGGGATGCTTGCAATCTATTTTCATTGTACATAGAGCCTATTATAGGTAGACAAAGGGATGGTGGGCATGTAAAATAGATGTATTTTACATGTAAAATAGATGCGACATGTAAAATAGATGACAGTGTCATCTGCACTATCTAGGTGGCAGGTTCACACATGATTCCTTGAACTTTCTGTAGGTTGAACTTTTTATAATTGAATTTTGTTTTTTAAAAAGCTCCTTTGAAGTCATAGTAAAAAGAAATGAATTTTAAAATCTGACTTCTCAATGCATGTACCCATATCACTTACACACGGTGACGATGTATGTATAAAAGCAGACATGCATGTAGTTGTCATCGTGTCTGTCATACATCCCTGGCAGGCGGTGACAACTCCAAATGTGTATGCCATGCCGAGGTGGAATATGATCGGATCTCAATCCAGCCACGCGCGCTAGACAGCAAGTTCATTAAGAGTGAATGACTGGAAAAGCTTTCTTCGGGCGGCGTAATTAGTGATAGTATAGTTTGTCCTGGGCACTGCCCTACACAGCTGGGCTGCGTCAGTGAAGAAAATAAAGCAAAACTAATTAATGCTCTTGAGAAGCTTACATTCTGGTGAGGGAAGATAGATGAGTAAAATTAATTACTTAATTAGGGTACAAAGTGATAAAAGAGCAGACTGGGAAACATACAGATTGCCGAGTTTTCAAACTGAGGAGGGGTTGGCTGGGAAGAGCTTCATGGTTTCAAGACAAGTATTGTGGTAGGCCACGCTGGAAAGGTAGGCCTCAAACACAGGTTTGAAAGAGATGAGGACGCAAGGCACACAGAGGCTAATCATCCGGGCAGAGGCACCAGCCAGGACCCAGCCCTTGCAATAAGGTGTGCTTGGCAGGTTTCCAGAAGCAACAAGAAGACACGAGGCAAACCTGTGACAGGAACTGAGGCCATAAGGTTGACAAGATTAGTAGGACTCAGATCATGAAAGGCCTTGTAGGCCAAGGTATGGATTTCGCTTTTCATCCTGAACAAAATGGGCAATTACTGAAGGATTTTAAGAAGAGAGAGGATTGGCTTATATTTTTGAAGGGGTAGAGAAGAAAGAGAATCTTTGAAGAGCTGGTTCAATCATCTCTGGTGCACAATGGTGTCTCAAGCTAAGTTAGCAATAGTGAAGGCATTGAGACATGGTTAGGTCTTACAGACATGTAACATGATGTCACTCCCAAAACAGGTCCTTGCGACGCCCAGATGCCTCAAGAAGGAAGTTGTATTGCGGAGGACCTGCCACGAACCTTTCTCTCGCTTATCGTCATTCCTGGATCTGGTCTTGTGTCATGCAGCCCTGAAGGAAACCCCTAGTGGCTGTTGAGAGCAGCTCACGTCCTGCCTTGCTAGATTGCTGGTTCTGTGAAGGGCCTGTCAGAAGTAGGGGGCGGGGCTGAAAAGGGTATCAGGGTCAGTCTCTAAAACAGCCTGTAACCCAGCATATAGACTCTGGCCTTCGTACTATTGGCACTGAGGAGGTGCAGCTAGCTTCTAGACAGGAAGAGTGACTTGTCCTAAATGCCAGGCAAAGATAAGCTGTCAGAACCTAGCCACCTCTATGATTTACACACGGCTCATCCCATCCATCTCTATCACCTACTTGTTGTACCAGGTCTACCTGTACACAGAGTAAATGGTTCGTGATCTAAGTTCCCCTAAGGGCTTATGGGACCTTGGCCAGTACAGAAAGGCCTGCTAGCCCAGATCTCCTTTTTTATCTTGCTTACTTCATTGTTCAGGACAGGAGGATATCACACCTTCTTAAGATCCGGGCTCCTGTCAGGGAAACTTGTTTGGTTTGGGTTCTGGCTTCATTCTTGAGACAAGCTCTCCTTATATAGCCCAGGCTGGCCTCAAACTCACAATCTTCATGCTTTGACCTCCAAACTACTAGGATCAAACAACACAGAGAAACCCTGTCCCAGGAAAAAAAAAACTGCTAGGATTATAGGCATGTACCATTACTACCGACAGGTTTGGGCAACGTTCTAAGACCATTCCTATTTGTGGAATGAAGCTCTATGTCCATAAACATAGAACTGGCATAGGGAGGTACAGAAAAGGCTGGCCCAGGGACCCAGTGTGCTGGTTCAAGGGGAGAAGAGTCACTGTGATGTCCAAGACTCCAGCTTTGTCTCAGTGGAAAGTGCCCTTGCTCCCCTGGCCCTGCTTCCTAACCTTTCACTCTGCTGTGGGAAGCCTCTGTTTGGTCAGGTCTTACTATTCTCCTAACCAAGCTGCTAACACAGGCCATGGAAAGAGATGCTCGCTGACATTTGTTACACAAACAAAAACCCGAATGGACGAAGGGTCATTCTAGGAGGCACTGAACAAAGCCTCTTGGGTTCCTCATTTGTAAACAGGAGATGATAGGCAGTAACAGACAGACAGCCAGTCAGTTCCTGGACTGTAAAATGCTGCCCACGTAGGCTGCTTAGGTCACTATCATTGAGAAGAGGGAGAAAATAGGCAAGGCATTTGAAGACTCCAAGATAAAATAACCCTCTCCCAGGATGCCTTCCCTCTGAGAGACATTGTCTTGTAGGTGTTGGACACTGAAGAGCTCACACCGACAGTATGATGACCTGGAATATTCTATAAGCTCTCCTTCCCATCTGTACAGAAAAGACCGTGTACTCAGCGTTGGCAACGCTCTCCCCATCCTAACACCATGGAAATGGCTAAGACTTTCCAATATCT